AGGCGATTGCTGTTTTTTAAATTTTTTCCGATTTTAATATAAATTCGTCCGTCTCAGATCACAATTTTATGTCTATTTTAATCCTCTGAAAGGATTTTCAATTCCGTTCAATCAATTCGGAAAAATTTACTAAACTGTAATGTGTCGGTAATTTCTACCTTCCAGCATCGCCTTAACGAAGTGCACAGCCACCCATGCCTGAATTCTTATCCACATTATCATGTGGACAAGAATAATTATTTTTATCCGCAGTGTGGTAAGTACATTGGAATGTGTACTATTGTTAATTGTTAATACATGCAATGCTAGTACTGTAAAATTTTTATATGTGCAGAGGACGGACAAATCCTGCGTAGAAGTTTGGTAAACGGAACTGAGCAAAATGTTTTGGAGGTACCATCAGACACAGAGCAGGACAACATTATTCAGCAGGCAGAAGAAAATCATATAATAATAATAATAATAATAATCATATAATATATATCATATGTAATAATAATAATAATAATATAATATATATAATATATATATATATCATATAATAATAATAATTATTATTATATAATATATATCATATATCACATCTTTATAATTAATAAAAAAGCTTCAGATACGAATCAAATCTAAAAAAAATGAATAAATACAAATCCAGAGCTGTCCGGTTTTTATATATCTTCCAATATTCTAATGAAATATTGGAGCACGCGAATTGAAGTAATTTGATAGATCAAACTGTCTTTAAAACGTCGCTGAGCGACTAGCGATTTGTCGCTTCATGAAAAGATAGGAAGAGAAAAGCGGCTGGCGTTTTGTCGATGACAGCAAACGTCATGCGCAGATCGAATGCGCGTTGACCGAGGCGACCGGAGTGGGGATAGTCGTTAGCGTCTTGACGCTGCGTGAAATTGCACTCTTAACTTTTATGTATAAAGTTTTTGTAGCTTTTTTTAAATTCTTATTACATATACTTTTAAGTACTTAATATTATAATATAATATTTGTTTCATAGGATGGAGACCGAGAGGCAGGAGAAGCGGACAACGACAAAGGGCAAGAAGATTTTTTAATTTTTTATTCAACATGTGTGACAATTACAACAAACACTATTTCGGAGAAAGAGGAAGAGGAAGAGGAAGAGGAAGAAGAAAGGGAAGAAATTAATACTTTATTTATTTTTATTTCTTAAAAAAAATAGTTTTACTATGTTCTGTGTTATTTATTTTAAAATGTTAAAATGTTGTTAAAAAATGTTAAATGTTGTTAAATGTTTACAAATAAATTAATAAATTAATAATATATACAC